CACCAGAACCAGGTCACCAGAACCAGGTCACCAGAACCGGGTCACCGGTTCACCAGAAACGGGTCACCAGAACCGGGTCACCAAAACCTGGTAACCAGAACCGGGTCACCAGAACCAGGTCACCAGAACCGGGTCAGATCACTAGAACCGGGTCACCGAAACCTGGTAACCAGAACCGGGTCACCAGACCGGTCACCAGACCAGAACCAGGTCACCAGAACCGGGTCACCGGTTCACCAGAAACGGGTCACCAGAACCGGGTCACCAAAACCTGGTAACCAGAACCGGTTCACCAGAACCGGGTCACTAGAACCTGGTAACCAGAACCGGGTCACCAAAACCTGGTAACCAGAACCGGGTCACCAGAACCGGGTCACTAGAACCGGGTCACCAGAACCGGGTCACCAGAACCGGGTCACTAGAACCGCCCCATAACAAACGCTGGAATGAAAAATAAATCAAGGTGTTGCAAAGGCCTAGTCAAAGTCTGTAACTGCTGTGCTGGAACCTGCTGAGATTCTTTCTGCCAGATGATGAAGATCATCTTAAAATGGTTGAAACGTTTTCAACTCACATCACTGAGGATCAAACTGCATCGGCGGTTAAACTCTGGATCCGGCAGCGGAGGCTTGACGTCGGCAGCAGCCTGGAGGACCAGCAGGAGAAACACATGAAGAAGAAACTGGAGCGACCGAGTGACGGCGCGTTCATCAGGAAACTGATGAAGTCATCAGGAAACTGATGAAGTCATACGTTCACTCAGAAAAGGCTGAATGAAAGGATGAAATCAGAAACCGGAGCGACACGCCGAGGGCAACGCAGCCGCAGTCTGTGTCGGCCTTCCTGTTCTCTAACGCTGGAGAACAGGAAGGCCGATCAGATTGTCCTCGGTGGTCAGGAGAACCGAACGGCTGCAGGTTCTGCTGCTCTCAGAGTTCTGGTCAAATTCTTCTCCAGCCTGAACTATAATGGATCCGTTTTTGACAAATTTAAAGATAATTTACAAATCTTGTTTCAACCTTCAGTAAAAAGTTGAAGTTAAAAGTCATAAAGCTGGAGATCAGATTCTCACCTCAGATTCCCAAAGTCCCAAATGTTTCTTTGTTTTTGTCTCTCCACCCTCCTCTTCCTCGCCTCCATCCTCCTCTTCCTCGCCTCCACCCTCCTCTTCATCGCCTCCACCCTCCTCTTCATCGCCTCCACCCTCCTCTTCCTCGCCTCCACCCTCCTCTTCATCGCCTCCACCCTCCTCTTCATCGCCTCCACCCTCCTCTTCATCGCCTCCACCCTCCTCTTCATCGCCTCCACCCTCCTCTTCATCGCCTCCACCCTCCTCTTCATCGCCTCCACCCTCCTCTTCCTCCTGAAGCTCCTCCTCTTTCTCTCCCTCCTCTGTTTGCAGTTTTTCCTTCCCTCCGTCTGAGGCTGCAGCAGTCGAGTCGTTTTCTGCCTCCATTCTTGTCTCTTCTGTGGAAAAACTTCAGTTTATTACAAATATGTTTATTTTTCTGAACAGAATATGAATGTAACGGCTGGTTGGTGATGAAGAGGAGAACGCTGCCTGGTCATACATGATCCACATGTTCAGCTCTTACGACAAAATGAAGTTTAATTAATAAAAACTGAAACATGTCATAATATTTCTGCTGTTATGAATTTTTCAAGGTCACTGTTTGACCTTGTTGGCTTCCATGTTGATTCTCATCAGGGATAATTTTCCTCTAATTTTTCTCCATTATCTGTGAAATCACTTCCATCTGACCTGAATCTGGTTCCTGAACTCACCTTTGACCTCCGGCTGTCCCTCCATGTCCAGCAGAGTCTTCCTCACCTCCAGCCTTCCTCTTTTCTCCAGGAAACGATTCCAAGTCCTGATGTTCCCTCTGAGTTTTTCTGGATTCAAACCTCTGCAGATTCGTCACGTTTGACCCTGAAGGAATGGATTCTTGCTTTCGATATTTAAAAACCTTCCAGGATGTTGGTTCACCTCTAACTTCTCCTGACTGAGCCCGAACGCCTCGCTGCGAACCGCCTGATGGTCCAACGCCGGTTCGTCTTATCAGCGCTGGCTTCCACATTTAGCCCAACACTTCAGTTTATCTGGACCAGGCCTTCATCTCAAACACTCACTGTGTGTGTGTGTGTGTGTGCGTGTGTGTGTGTGTGTGCGTGTGTGTGTGTGTGTGTGTGTGTGTGTGTGTGTGTGTGTGGTATGAAGTGCTGAGCTCATACGGTGGAAGGAATGCAACAAACTGTTCCTGCAGTGAGATTTAACCTCCTGATTACAGAACAAAACTTGTTTAGTTTAGTAAATAATAAAACTGTTAATATTTGATTTTGTTCACCTGGAATTTAGGTTAAACTAAACCTGAGAACATGTTTAAATCTGATATAATTTGTTCAAATCTGATATAATTTGTTTAAATCTGATAGAATTTGTTTAAATCTGATATAATTTGTTTAAATCTGATATAATTTGTTTAAATCTGATATAATTTGT